CCACTTGATGTCCTGACAGGAGCCCTGCTAGGTGGTCTGCAGGGCCACCTGGGCCCAGGGGGAGTCACTCCCTCCGCCCTAGCCACTCCTGGTACAGCTCCTACATATTCACATGACAACTGCATGAGGTAAGTTCCAAAGGCATCTGGGGAAATTCAGGAGTGACTGTATGGCCTCCCATGGGCTTCTTCTGTTTATACCATCACTATTTTGGACAAGAGCATTCAGAAGTCAGTCAATGCAGGCCCAGCTCTTAGGTACCCAGTGAAGATGGTGCTGTCCGCCAACCCTTCCCTTTGTTGACCCAGAGAAAGAAGATACCAGTCAGGAAGGGCTCCTGCTGCTAAGTGTACTTAAATTTAAAAGCATATCATAGCAGCCATTTCCAACTCAGCACCTCTCACACAAGCTGTGCTTCAGGGAGATGCCTGCACTAAGCTGCCTGTCCTCCTGCACTGAATGACCTGCCTGCAGTTATGTTCCTGCCATCTGAGCCAGCCCTTCCAAAGGAGTTCTTGGAATCATATTTCAACCAATAGGAATAAGACTTTCCCTGTAAAATAGGAGCTGTGCAACTGTAGTACATTAGTATCTTCACCAACCAATCAGAGTGGCTTCTGTGAACAATCAGAACAGTGTTTTCTGGATTAATAAAATGTGAGGGTTTGGAGTCCACATTTGAGACAGACCAATCAGGGATCAGGGACTTCTCTCTATATAAGTCAGCTTTCCTTTATGTAAGCATGCTCAGTGGCCAGAACCTGGTGACCAGCCAAGTGGAAATACCAGCCTTCTATTTCTCCTTTCATTCCAGAAACACTCCCCAAAGGAGAGGTAAAGACCTGTAATAGATGGGTTGGTTGACAGATCGGGAGGAGGTCTGGGTTGTGTGTGTGGCTTAAAGAGCTAGCTTCTTTTCCTGGGCTTCTGCTCTTTGTGAGCTGATTCTGTTTGCCTTTTATCTCTACTTTTGGGGCAGTCATTTGCCCCGTGGCATCAATTCTCTGATATATTTTTAAAGAGTTGTTAATTTTCAGTTTAATTTTTTTTAAAATATATTTTATTCATTTTGTACAGAGAGGAAGGGAGATAGAGAGCTAGAAACATCGATGAGAGAGTGAGTCATCGACCAGCTGCCTCTTGCACACCCCCTACTGGGGATATGCCCGCAACCAAGGTACATGCCCTTGACCAGAATCGAACCCGGGACCTTTCAGTCCCCAAGCCAACGCTCTAGCCATTGAGCCAAACCGGTCTCGGCTAATTTTTTTTCTTATTGTGAGGGTAAGAATAATAAATTCTAAGCTTTTTACCTGATGGGCAGGAAATTTGGTTTTATTTTTATGTAGGATAATTTCTGATTTTAGGTCATATATGCTGAAAATTTTAGTAATAAAGTGACATGAGGTTGAGAAGTATCTATGGAAAAGTTCAGTACAATGTTCAGGGCAATATGTTAATGTTTGTTGAGTCTAGATGATGAATATTTGGGTGTTCATGATACTATTCTTTCCATTTATCTGTGTATTTAAATTTCTAGATGCTGAGAACGACTCTGGCACTACAGTAGTCCCCCTCATCTGCGGGTGATACATTCCAAGATGCCCAGTGGACACCAGAAACTGTGGCTAGTACTTAACTCTAATAAATTCCTTTAGCATGCTGGAAATATGGCAACAACATATTCATTGGCAGAGCATCCTGTTCAGTAATTTTAATAATTTTTAGTCTAAACCTAATCCTGAATTTGTGTAACCATCCCTTACTTGCAGTAAATGGCTTAGTGTTGCTCATTTCAGAGGGTCCCTTGCTGAAGTTTTTGTATAGGCTCAATCTTTTCTGGCACAACACGTTGCCATCGATTGAAACACATATTCTCCTCATATCGTCCACCCACGAATTTGATTTCCATCTAAACTAAGCACTCATCACACACTTGTCTATAACTTCTGCAGTTGGAGTTGCCACAGCAAAATTAGCAAGGATTTCTTTTACCTCTATCACAATTTCAGATAGAAGATTAATTCTTATCAAATAGTTAGCAACCTCAGCATGCAATGCAATTTTTTTTTTATTTCCTTATTAAGTAAAAAGCATTTACCTATCACTTTAAGGAAGAAGCAGTTGATGGCTTGTCTTGTCTATCTAAATTTCCAGCATCATTACTCTTAACATAAAAACCATTGAAACCTGTAAAGAATTTTTGTGAGTTTATTTGAGCCAAACTGTCGACATATGCTGTGAAGCAGAACCTCAAGGAATTGAGATATTTTTCCAAAGATTGGCGGGTTACATTTGTATTTATACATTGCAATTAAAGGAAAGGGACATAGGCGGGTTACAGAAAATCCATTGGTGATAGACTAGAGAGGCAGGAGAAACCCCTGGGATTGGATAAAAAGTAAAATGATGGACACATAACTTAGGTGGATGCAGGAAAAATTAACTTGATAATGAAGGAATTTGTGGTATCTGTTCTGGCACCTGGTGCCCCAAGGGGTCTGGAAAAAGGGAAGTCACAAGTTACTTAGACATTTCAAAAGGTATGTTATTATAGATGCAAAAAGACAGACAGGCTCGGTTAAGGTAAAGGTTGACCTTATCAGTGAAGATACCAGCCTAGGAGGTGACTACCCACCATAACTGCTTTTAGTCAAAGTTTAATTTTAGACCTTCCTTTGTGGTTACTCTAGGTCTCTGAGTCTGCAAGACTGCCATGCAGGCCTCCCTTGAGCCTGTCAGGTTAGCATGTGGACCCTTTCATCCACACTCTTATGCTTTGAGGCCATTAATAAATAACAGTAAAATAAGGGTCCCTTGAACAGAAACACTGTAATAGTGCGACAGGCAATGTGATAAGCAAGTCTGTGCTTAACTAATGGGCAGGGAGAGTCTAAAGTGTGGAGACCCTGGACAAAGGGATGAGTCATATTCCAGGTGTGATGGAGCAGGATGGTGCAAGCTTTCATCACATTACTGAAACACACAACTAAAAATTCAAGAATTGCAATATAGTTTGAACTTGGAATCAAGAATCCTCAATTCTCTTCCTGTTTCTGCCCATTCATATCTAAAGGCCTTCCTGACACTTACCTTAACTGATTTCTGTAACAGGACCCATTACCCTGGTTTTTTTGTTGTTGTTGTTTACCTCTTCTGGGAATGCTAGATGAGAATCTGCAAAATGAGCTTTCAAGCTAACAGGTGTTGTAACAGGGACTGGCAGTTATGTGAAAATGGAGTGCCCTTTTGCTGATCTGTTGTTAGGAACTTTGCTGAATCTCCCGAGTGGATAGTAACTGCGGCTCTGTTCTAAATGTTACACGAATAGTGATGATAGCAACTATCCAGGGTGCTGCTAAACATGGATTCATGCAAAGATAGTACTCTCTGCAAGAAGTTTAATGCCCCCTTAGTTCCAAGGACACAATCTCATTAAATTCTGGGAAGGATGGTGGGGCAGTCAGTCTCCAAGTTTTAGGAATATAGTGGGATCTTTTCCTTCCAGGCAACTTCTTCCTCCAGGCTTAGCAATTTCATTCTTTTTAGATACCATTGTACACTCACCTTTTCCTTCTTTCATTAGTTTGTGGATGCACCTAACAGTGTAAATACTATCCATAAAAATTCCAATCCAGCCATCACCTCCCGCTTCCTTTTCCAGGCATCTAGTATATTTTGGTTGTCACTCATTAAAAGTGTAACTAGCTGAATAGGGACATTAGCTAATTGTTTAACAGCCTAGAGCAGTGATCGGCAAACTCATTAGTCAACAGAGCCAAATATCAACAGTATAACGATTGAAATTTCTTTTGAGAGCCAAATTTTTTAAACTTAAACATCTCCTAATGCCACTTCTTCAAATTAGACTCGCCCAGGCTATGCTATTTTGTGGAAGAGCCACACTCAAGGGGTCAAAGAGCCGAGTGTGGCTTGAGAGCCGCAGTTTCCCTGACCTCGGGTCTAGAGAGAAGCACCTCAGAAAATGTTATACCAGAAGGTTACCATTCAGAACATCACAAACAGGCTTTAAAATCCCATTAATTAGGAATGCTTAAAATATGGACAACTAGATAAAGCAGATTTAAAAAAAATAGCTAGTGCCCTGGCTAGGTGGCTATTGGTTGGAACAGTGTCTCATATACCAAAAAGTTGCATGTTCTATTCTTAGTCAGGGCACATACCTACACTTCGGGTTTAATCCCTGCATGGATGTTTCTCTTTCTTTCACTCCCTTCCTCTCTAGAAAATTAAATAAATAAATGAATAAAAAATAAAAAATAAAAACCACCATATACTCAGGTGAGGAATAAAATACCCAAAATAAATACAAAATAATATTGAATGTAAACTGAAATTGAAGAAAAAAATCATAAATAAAATGCTTAAAAAAAAACTAGGTGAAAGATGAAGGAAGAATGCTCCAAATGTTTATGGAATAGTTATGTGGCCCATCGGTGTTAGGCATACTCACATGTTTCATTTAATTCTCATAGCAGCCCTGAGAAGGAATTATCTCCATTTTACAAAACTGAAAACAGGATTAAAGAAGTCTCTTTATGAAAAAAAAAAATAGCTGTATATATTTCCCCAAAAAATGAACACTGGCCATCTCTACATAATTTGGTAACAATGTTTTGTTTAATGTTCAAACTTAATATGAAACAACATGCCACTTTCATAAAAAGGTACAATTTTATGAATCAATATATAGACGCCTTGGTCAACATCATAAACTAGGATTGGACAAAGATATAAATCCATGTCTTCCAGCTTCCCTTGACATCACATTGCTTTTCAGAAGATAATCACTGAGGCCAACGGGGAAAGAAGAGAAACCACCAATGTCAAAAACCAGTTTCCATCTGACCAAGCTCTCATTGAGGCCATCATTCTAAGCCACAGGCCTTACTTTGCTCTGACATTTCTGGATGTTTCCTCCCGATAAGTGCATTGAGGTTAGGTCACAGGGCTCTCCTTGCATTTCACAGTCAAGTAGTTTACAAAATCTCCAGATCTTCTGCAGAGCATTCAGCTACACTAATGGGCCTTCCTTTAGGCCCTGGAGCAGTGTGGCACCAATTTGAAAGTCTCCAGTCCACAAAGTTAAAGTCAAAAAAGACCAATAGCCACTGCTCTGTGCTTTTGAAGATACAGGAATGAGGGCCAAGACTGCCTCCTGTATACCTCAGTGTTGAAAGGATCAGCAGGAAGGGATATATCAAGTGCTTACAAGGTCCCAAGGTCTGTGTTGATATTAAGCCTTCACATGTGGCTTGGAATTCCTTGATAGAAAACATTGCAGTAGTATTCATGGGAGGAGCAACTAGAATGGGTGTACTTCTTCCAGGGCAGTGAATCCTCTCTTACTATTCCAGAATAAAGTTCCCTGAGCCATGGGCTTTGTTGTTCATCCACAAATAATAATAGCCCTAGAAAGTCTAACTTAGTAATACTCTCTGAGCTCCCTTCAGAGAACCTGAATATTTTTGCTTTCCACTTCTCCTGAGAATGAGAGTAGGACTAATGGCCATCATACATTAGCTGAGGACCTGATACCTACCTGAAGAATTTAAATCACATAGGGTTGGGAAGGTAATAATATAGATAGACAGATAGATAGATAGATAGATAGATAGATAAATAGATAGATAGACTATAGACATATGATTGGTATATTTTCATTCTTTTATTTATAAAGTACCCATTATGTTATCAGTCTTATGCTGAGCATTGAAGATACAATACTGAATAAGAGACAAGTTAGATTCCTTTATGTGAAACATGACATGTACCCCTCTCAAATTTTCTGTTGATAACATAATCCTAGGTGCCTCATGATTTTGTATTCTTTAGCCTCTAGAGTCAAGCCCCATATGGTGACTTTCTTCAGACTGGAGATTCTGGACATTATTCCTTTCTCACATGGAGCTTTTGGTGTCTAAGAAGGCTTGACCGCCTGCTGAAGTTTCTCCTACATATGCTACAGGAATAAGGCTGCTCACCTGTGTGGGTTCTTTGGTGTTTAATAAGGTGCGAGTTCTGAATGAATCTTTTTCCACATTCATGACATTTAAAGGGCTTCTCTCCTGTGTGAATTCTTAGGTGTGTGTGTAGATTTGTGTTGTGACTAAAGCTTTTTCCACACCATGAGCATCTATATGGTTTTATTCCCTGGTGTGCCATTAAGTGCTTATTTAAATCTGAACTCCATCTAAACCTCTTATCACACTGTTGACATTTATAGGGTTTCTCTTCAGTGTGAATTCTCTGGTGCTTAATTAGGTCAGAGCTAACTCTGAAGCCTTTTCCACATTCCTGACATTTAAAAGGTTTCTCTCCTGCATGGCCTTTCCCATGAAGATCCATATGTTTTGGAAGCTCTTGCTTACAAGTTGGAAGTTTCTTTCTCTTTCTCCCCAGAAAAGCTCGAGGCCGTTTCCGTACCTTATGTGTACCACCAGGATTTTCTTTGACTGTCGTTTGCTGGGCAACTTTCATTCTGGCCTTTCTTAATACTTTGCATCCTGTTGTTTGTATTTCTAATGGAGAAGTAGACATAGGTGGGTCATTTCCAGTGTCATTTTTGAGCTTTAACCCTGTTGGAATAAACAGAAGAATCAGCCATCTATATCCCAATACAACAAAACAAGGAACGGAGCTTAAAGATCAATGATTAAAAAAAAAAAAAAAAGGAACAAGTGGTTTCTAGTCCAATCCACACGAAACTGCATAAACCGATTTCACCTTGATCCTCCCTACTAGGCCCATCAACAAACCAATTAAAGAATGTAAGAAACAACCAAGAGAATTTTAATAACATTTAAAAAATATTTTTAAAAATTGATTTTTAGAGACAAGAAGGGAGAGGAGAAACATCAATGTGAGAGCTGAACATCAAGTGGCTGCCTCCTGCACACCCCCTACTCGGATTGAGCGTGTAACCAGGGCATGTGCCCTGACCAGGAATCAAACTGGCAACCTTTAGTGCATGGGATGATACCCAAACAACTGATCCATGCCATCCAGGGACCAACAGAGAATTTTAAAAAGTGGGAAAATAAGTTTGGGACTCCAGGACTAGGAGAATAACATAGCAAGAATTCTTATATACCCACATCCAACAGAAGGCGGCAACCCAATCTAATGTTTTCTAACTCACAACCTAGCAACAGAAGCTTTCCTGAATAGGCTTCTTCCTTCTCCAGTTTTCATGGGAAACCTTCTGACAGCATAAGAATCCATTACAAGACACCAAATAGGCAGGCAGGACTAGCAAGATGCCTCAGCACAGGTGGCCTGGCCCAGGAAACCTTTCATCCCTGTGGGTCCAAGACTCTATATCTATATTCCCTCTGAGAGATACTCTAGCCCAAGTAAGGGTTTAATCTCCAACATTTACCGGGAACTCATACAACTTAACAAAAGAAAGATAAACAACCCAATCATTAAATGGGAAAAGGACCTAAATAAACACTTTTCGAAAGAGGACATTCAGAAAGCCACGAGACACATGAAAACATACTCAGTCACTAATCATCCGAGAGATGCAAATCAAAACAATAATGAGGTACCACCTCACACCTGTCAGTATGGTTATCATCAACAAATCAACAAATGACAAGTGCTGGAAAGGATGCGGAGAAAAAAGAACCCTCCTGCACTGCTGGTGGGAATGCAGTCTGGTGCAGCCACAGTGAAGAACCTATAGAGTTTCCTCAAAAAACTAAAAATGGAACTGCCATTTGACCCAATAATCCCACTTCTAGGACTATATCCCAATAAATCAGAAACACCAATCAAAAAGATATATGCATCCCTATGTTCATAGCAGCACAATTTACCACAATTAAGATTTGGAAACAGCCTAAATGCCCATCAGCAAATGAATGGATTAGAAAATTGTGATACATCTACACAATGGAATATTATACTGCTAAAAAAGGAATTCTTATCATTTGCAACAGCATAGATGAAATTGGAGAGCATTATGCTAAGTGAAATAAACCAGTCAATGAAAGAAAAACACCATATGATCTCACTCATTTATGGATAATAAAGAACATTATAAACTGATGATCAAAAATAGATACAGAGGCAGAGTAGCATTGAACAGACTATCAAAATACAGCAGGAAAGCTGGGGAGGGTTTGGGGAGGAAGGTAAGAGATCAACCGAAGAACTGGTATGCATGCATATAAGCATAATCAATGGATGCAAGATACTGGAGATAGGCCGGGGCCGGTTTGGCTCAATGGATGGAGCGTCGGCTTGGGGACTGAAGGGTCCCGGGTTCGATTCCGGTCAAGGGCATGTACCTTGGTTGCGGGCATGTCCCCAGTAGGGGGTGTGCAAGAGGCAGCTGATCGATGACTCTCTCTCATCGATGTTTCTAACTATCTCTCTCCCTTCCTCTCTGTATAAAATCAATAAAATACATTAAAAAAAAAAAAAAACCGGAGATAGGGGAGACTGGGGCAAAAAAGGAGATATATGTACTACTCTTTCTAATACTTTAAACATTAAAATTTTAAATAAAAAAGTGCTTGGAGGAAAATACATAGCCAAAATGTTTACAAGAGAAAAGGGGAAAATTCTCAAATCAATAATCTAAGTTTCTACCCTAAGAAACTAGAAAAAAAAAAGCAGCAAAATAAACCCAAATCAAGTTGAAGAAAATAATAACTATCAGCAGAAATCACAATCAAACAAAGTGCTTTCATCATTAAAATGTACATACTACCCAAAGCAATCTATAGATTGAATGCAATCCCCATTAAGGAACCAATGGAACATTTCACAGACCTAGAACAAACTCTCCAAACATTCATCTGGAATAAAAAAATAAAAAATAAAAAAAGACCCTGAATAGCTGCAGCAATCTTGAAAAAGAAGAACAAGTTGGAGGGATCACAATACCAGATATCAAGCTATATTACAAAGTCACTGTCTTCAAAACTGCCTGGTACTGGCCCAAGAACAGAAATATAGACCAGTGGAACAGAACTGAGAACCCAGAAATTGACCCAAGTCAATATGCTCAATTAATATTTGACAAAGGAGGCAAGAGCATACAATGGAGACAAAACAGTCTCTTCAATAAATGGTGTTGGGAAAATTGGACAGATACTTGTAAAAAAAATGAAACTAGACCACAAAAATAAACTCAAAATGGATAAAGGACTTAAACATAAGACAGGAAACCATAAAAATCTTAGAAGAAGCAATAGGCAGCAATATAGCAGACATGTGTCCTAGAAATATCTTTACTGATACGATGCCTAAGGCAATGGAAACCTAGAAAATAAACAAATGGGTCTACATTAAAATAAAAAGGTTCTGCACAGCAAAAGAAATCATCAACAAAACAACAAAAAAAGCCCACTGCATGGGAGAACACATTTGCCAATGTTATCTCCAATAAGGGTTTAATTTAAAAAACTTATAGGGAACTCATACAATTTAACAAAAGGAAGATAAACAATCCAATAAAAAAAAATGGGCACAGGAACTCAATAGACACTTTTTGAATGAGGACCTACAAAATAACAAGAGACATATGAAAACACTAGTGGCCCAGTGTAAGAATTTGTGCCCACTGAAAAGAAATTAATTAGAAGAACTATTTTAGTATCACTATTCACTCTTTATAATAGTAGTGTCAACCAAATTCACAATCGATAAATGACAGAATGAAACACACGTGTGTGATTGGCACCAGCAAGAGCTTTATATGAACTGTGCATACGCAAGTCAACTTAACCTGTTATATATAGAGGCCCGGTGCATGAAATTCATGCACGGGGAGGGGGATGTCACTCAGCCCAGCCTGCACTCTCTCCAATCTGGAATCCCTTGAAGAAGGACCTAAAGTTAGTTTACAGGGATTGGGCCTAAACTGGCAGACATCCCTCCCACAATCTAGGACTGCTGGTTCTTATTCACCTGCCTGCCTGATTGCCCCTAACCACTCAGCTTTCTGGCCTGCTTGCCCCCAACTGCCCCTCACTGCCAGCCTGCTCGCCCCAAACTGCCCCCTCCTTGCTGGCCTGCTCACTCCAAACTGGCCCTGCCCCTACTGACGGCCTGATCGCTCCCAACTGGCCCCTCTGCTGGTCTGCTTACCCCCCAACAGCCCCGCTCCCCACCAGCCTGATCACCCACAACTGCCCTTCCCTCTTGGCCTCTAACCACCTCTACCTCTGCCCCGCCACCACGGTTTTGTCCAGAAGAATGTTCGGAAGATCTCCTGGAAGGTCTCCCAGTCTCATTAGCATATTACCCTTTTATTATTATAGATAGAGGCCTGGTACATGGGTGGAGGCCAGCTGGTTTGCCCTCAAAGATGTCTCAGATCAGGGTGGGGGTTCCCTTGGGGTATGGGACCGCCTGGGTGAGGGGCTGAGGGCCATTTTCAGGCTGGCCAAGCCCCCCACCGGGGATCCTCACCCCATGGGAGTGTGGCCAACCTGAGTGAGGGGCTGAGGGCTGTTTTCAGGCTGGACACACCCCTTGGCAATCCAGGCTCCTAGAATCCAGGAAGCCAGGGCCAGCTGGAAGCAGGTATCTGGGATTTATTTATTTTCTATAATTGAAACTTTGTAGCCTTGAGCGGAGGCCAGGGCCAGCCAGGAAGCTTGGCTTTCTCTATCGCAGGTTGGCTGCCACCAGCTTTGTTGGGTTACTCTGCATATTCGCTCATGATTGGCTGGTGGGCGTAGCGAGTGATGGTCAATTTGCATGTTTCTCTTTTATTAGTATAAATAATAAATTTGCCTTATTAGACTTGCTTTCTGATTTAGCTAAACTTGTTTCAGCCCAGTGAAATACCCCAACTTCTCTTTCAGGTAATTGTCAGCAACATAGCAGTAAATATCAACATGAAGCAGATTATTACTCTTGATCATGTAGGGGGAACAAAGGGTAAAATATTTAACTGTAGCAGTGTTTGACTATATTCTGTGCAGTAAAAAACCTGAAGTCACTTTCAAGGTCCACCATTTCTTATTTCTTTTCAGTTTGGTGAAGTGTCTAAACTTTCTAAATCTGTTTTCTGGCTAATGAAAAGAAAATAGGATTCCACTGAGTCTCCTATCTACTTACTCTGGGACTTCTGTGTGGATCAAATGAGAAGAGGCATGGGAAAACATTTCACAGACATTTGGTTAAAGTGTGAAATGTTTGTACTGGCTATAAAGCAAGTAGTGTTCCTGGGCTACAGAAACTCCAAGGAGGCTAGTTGTCGCTAGGGGAGAGGAAGCCAGGTGTTGCTACATGAGGTCATTACCTAGTGCCCACAGCAACCGTTTTTGGGCTGGGCTGTGGGCCGCATTTTTACCCATGGGGTCTTGGCAGCGTTGACTGCGATTTGGTAGGCTGTTGCTCCAGGGTGGTGGCAGGACCTGTGTTCCACTTGGTGAGTGACAAGTGTTGCTTTGTGTGCGCCAGATCTGTGGTGCCATTTCTCTGTGTGTGACACGGCAAGTCCTACATTGAGTGTATGCCTCCTGGTGGTCAGTGCGTGTCATAGTGACTGGTTGGATGGTCGGACACTTAGCCTTTTATATATATAGATGCTCAGTCACTAATCAGCTGAGAG